TGGGGGGGGTCACCTGAAGAAGAGAAAGATCCAGGGAAACCCCAGAGCCCCTTCCAGGGCCTGAAGGGGCTCCAGGAGAGCTGGAGAGGGACTGGGGACAAGGGATGGAGGGACAGGACACAGGGAATGGCTTCCCAGTGCCAGAGGGCAGGGAGAGATGGGATATTGGGAAGGAATTGCTAGCTGGGAGGGTGGGCAGGCCCTGGCACAGGTTGCCCAGAGCAGCTGTTTATTATCATTATCATCATTATCATTACTGGGTTATTGCAGCATCTCTGGGCACACGCCAAGGACTGAAGCCTGTGGTTTTGGGGCTGAGTGGATGCAGAGGGAGGTCACATCCAACATGTTGGGCCAGTTGGAGACAAAAGGACAAGGATGTGATCGGCCAAGCAGGAGAGATGTGGAAAAGGCTGGGAAACAGAAAGGCAGGAAACTCTGCAAGCTTGAGGGGAGCTTCAGGTCCACCAGAAATGCCAGGAGTTAGAAACATGAGGGACAAACAGCTGGCAAGATTGGGATGATCCAGTGTCGAATTCCCGAGTTAAGTCACTCATAAGCCCCGGAGGAGCTCAGAGTTCGGGAGGAGCTGGAGGAGAGCAGAGGGAGAGGAGACAGAGAGAGGGAGAGAAAGGAGAGGGGGGAGCTCACAGAAACCTCCCCAAAAATCAAGGAGTGGAGCAATGGAAGGAGCGGGCAGCAAAACCTGGAAGCTGAAGAAGGATTTCAGGAAAGAAAGGGCTGTAAAGCATTTAATGGGCTCCGAGGCACCGGAGAGGACGACGGGAGGAATGTGAGAGGGGGATTGGAGTTAAAGGAGAAGCAGCGCATTACTTTGTCCTTGGAAAGTGATGAGAACTCCCGACTTTACTGAACTAACGCTGTTTCCTACTGAAGCAAAATCAGGATCCGATTCCACAGCACGTTTCTCCCTCTGCCAAGGATCAGAAAACTGATCTGATTTCAGTCTCAGAGGGGGCCTTTGAAAACAGAACTCTTTGAAAGCCGCTGTGGGAGGGATTTGAAGCTGTGGCAGACGAATATCCCTCCCCTTCCATCGACGCTGCAAGACCAGAGCAGGCTCCGAGCAAATCCCAGCTCCTGCTGCTTGTGCTGACCCAGAGCCGGCAGAAATCCTCCAGAATTTATCGTCTCCCGGTGCCACAGATCTCCTGGTCCGACAGAAAAATGCCAAGTTGTTTTGTCCCCCCTTGACAGAGGCAAAATCCTGACCCTGAGTTTGGTCCTTTGGACCAGCATCGCCCACCTGGGTCGGGATCTTCACCCTCCTGCCCTTTCAAAGGGTGCAGTCCTCAAATGGGGAGGTGTTTTCCCAGGAAAAAGGTCCTACCCTGATCTCAGCATACCCAAAAGCCCCGGGGCTAACTGGACGTGTCTCCATCCCATCATGGCACAAACCCCTCCTAAACAGACGCTGTCACAGCCTCCAGAGATCCACATGACCGGAGCAAAGCGCTGGGCTGTGCTCGGAGATTTATCTGGGAAAACAAGGGATATCAGGAGAGGAAGGGAGAGGCTGTTTGGTGAGGGAGGATGGAGCAGTGGAACAGTCAGGGCTCTGTGAGAGCCGTGCCAGAGGGAGGTTGGGGCTGGTGTGGGGAGGACAGCGAGGCCGGGATGCCTTTGCCTGGCAGTTGGGCACCCAGGTGGGGTAGAGCAGAGGTGGGACACAGGCACGTTATCCCCCAAACTGGAGCCAGTCGTAGCCCAAAGCTGAGGGGAGAGCAAGGTCAGACATGGATGTCAGATGTGTCTCCTCTTTGCCTTCAAGAGGACAGAGGGGACAAGAGGGAACGGCCTCAGGCTGGGCCAGGGGAGGGTCAGGTTGAGGCTGAGGAGGAATTTGTTGCTGGAAAGGGTGGGGAGGCCTTGGCAGGGGCTGCCCAGGGAGGTTTGGAGTGCCCAGCCCTGGAGGTGTCCCAGGAAGGCCTGGCCGTGGCACTCAGTGCTCTGGGCTGGGGACAAGGTGGGGATGGGGCCCAGGGGGGATCCATGGGCTGGGAGGGCTTTTCCAACCTCAGGGATCCTGGGATTCTCTGGCAGGTGACAACCAGGGAGGAAGGATGGAGGAAATCCCAGGTGCTCTGTGTGGACACCCACGCTTTGATCTTAAACAAAGAAGGAAAACCCAAGTTTTTCTCCCCCACCACAGCCACAAAATCGAGTGTGGCTGAGCCATTCACCTCCTGATTGGCCACATTCCCTGAAATCCTCCATCCAACCACACCATGCCATGGGGAATGGTTGGCATCATGTGGCAATGCCAGAGGCAGGACTCATTACTTCCACAGTCTGGTTTGCCCATTCCTGTGATGTTCAGCCCTAAAAGCAGTGCTGGAATATGGGATCAGCAGCCAGGAGTGTGACAGAGGGCAGGACAGCTCCATGTGGATCCTTTTCACTTCCCTCCTCCCAGTTCAAAGCAGCCAAGCTGCTGCTGACTGGGATGGTACCGGCTCCTCTCCAGCCCCACAGTGACCCAGCTGCAGGGAAGCTTTTCCCAGCACCACTGCAACAGCTGAGCCTTCCAGGCACGAAGAAAAGAGGGAAGAGATTTCTATGGAAGTTTTTCAATTCTTTAAGACACCAGCACCCTCCTGGATGCCAAAAGATGGTTGCCATCCTGCCAGGATGTATAATTCCAAACTGGAAATCAATACCACCCTATAATGTTCTCCCTTCTGATTGTCCCTCTGTCCCACTGAGAGGAATTTTGGATGATTTTCAGATGATTCAGCATTTGCCCATCTGATTCCAGCAGTCCAATTTTCCTGCAGCCATCAATTCCTCCTGGCAACATCCCTGTGACCAGCCTGGGCTATCCAGAGTTCTCCTTCATTTAATTATGGCAAAGGCAACCAGCCGGATGGACAATGCCAGCCTTTGTCCCTGGGGATGAGTGGCTAAGTGCATTCACAGGGAATATCATCCAGATTTCTTGAACTCTCCCTGCTTTGCCCCAGTGAAAGCTCTGGGGGTGCTGAGGAGACCTGAGACCCTCTGTGGTTTGATCTCCTGCACTTCCCATGGGAGCATTTGAGCTTTTCCCCAAGGATATTCGAGGTACAGCCAGGGAAATTAATTGGATTTTGGCAGCCAGTGGGTGACACCTGGGTCACCCAAGGGAGGAGATTTGTCCCTCAGCTCCTTAAAACTTGCCAGGACCTTCACTGATGCTGAAGGAGCCGGAGGGAGATGATGCTCTTGCAGAAAAATTCAGGGAAACGTGATCCAGCCTTGTCCTGGATCGGCCACCCCGGGGGGCTCCCATCCCTTCCCTGGTCCCACATCCCGTTGTGGGTGACCACAAGGGCTTTCCCTGCTCCAAAGGGTGGTTCCCTGGATGGGGTTTCACTCAGGAAACCCATGGCAGTGTCTGTGCTCCCCATCCCTGTCCCCTGACAGGAGTAAGGTGGGAAAGGGAAGGCAAAGGCACCTCCCCACCACCTTGTTCTTCATTTTTATTCCCAATTATCCTTATTCTCCTGCAAAACCTGAGCCTGAGCAGCATCCCCACCACGAGCACCAGCTGCTTTTGGGTGTGGGTGCTCAGTGCTCCCAGGGAAAAGCAGGAATCAGGAACTGGGCTGAATTTGTCCCATGGTGGGTGATGTTTCATCCCTTTTAACCGTCATTATTTAAATCATCACTATTTAAATAGTGAAGTTTGGTGACTGCTCCCAGTCTTTCCACGCTGCTCCCATCTTCCAAGCCTCTAGTGAGGAATATGGGGTGTTTCCCAGGATAAATGCTCCCTCCTTCCTTAAAAACTCACTGCTTTGTCCCTGTGTGCCAAACTGAGGTGGCTTTTTTTCTAGGGGAGGGAAAACAGAGGGGATGTGGCAGTGTCACGACATCTCCTGCTGTTTCCAAAATTAAGAATTGTAGCTTTTTGGTTCAAAATGGCAAATCACTTAGGAATAGAAAACCTACGGAAATGAAATACATAAAAGGAGACAAAAAAAAAAGCCCACAAAAATAAAATATAGGTATATATAAAGAGAAAAAAAAGGCCAAAAAATTAAAAGATAGATAAAGAGAAACTTTTTGTTTCACCCTGGACAACCCAGCCTTTACTCTGGAGCAGAGTGAGCCCATCCTGCTCTCCAAAAAACAACAGTAAAATGCCACTTTCACTGACCAATTCCACCCAAATTTCAGGGTCTGGGCTCTGGGATAACCCAGCACTTGGCTGCATCATTCCCAAGTGAAACAAAAAGGGATATTTTGCCAAAGCAGTATTTATCCCAAAAAAGCACCATCCACCCAGCACCATGGGAAAGATCAGATGCCCTTGTGGGACCCCCACCAAGGCACCCAGCAGCCCCCCAAAAGTGGTTTTTGGGGATATTTAAGCCCGTAGTGCCACCTGCTGGCAAAGGGCCCTCCCAGAGCTCCCACTTTGCTGCCAGAGCCCGGCCAGTGCCTCCAAAAATCTCCCCCACAGGCATTTCCAGCCCCTCACCCCTGCCTTGTGCTGGTGAAACGGGGGGTTCAGAGCACTTTAAAGCAGTTCTTAAGGCACTTTAAAGCAGTTTTAAGCACTTTAAAGCAGCTTAAAGCAGCTTTTAGCAATTTTTAAAGTAGTGTGAGGTTTTTTAGGACAAAGGACAAGCCCCCACCCCGATGTTTTCCCGCACTGATCCCTCCTCAAAGAGCCCAAGGCAGCCACTGGGAATGAAAACTTGGTAAATTTAATACTGATACAGGAGGGTTTTCCTTTACACAGCAAAAATGAACCCGTGGAGGTCACTGGGATAGCGAGAAAACCAGGAGCCTACCGGGATCTGATAAAAACAGGAACAGGGATAACGGGCAGATACAAACACCAGCAGGGACCGGAGTCCTCCTGCCTCGGGGCTCAGCCAGGTTCCCTGTAATTTGGGGGGGGGATTCTTAAAAAAATAGTAAAAAAGTTTGCTCAGGGGGTTGGTGACCCCGAGGTTTCAAAGTTTTTTTGGGGAGTTTTTTTGCACCGTGGCTCGGGGAGCGCCCGTGCACCCCAAGGCGCTTCCCATCTCCCATCCCACCAACCCTCTCTGCTTTGGGTCTGGCTCAGCTCTCTGGGAAGCTGGAAGGCACTTTGGGACCCCTGAAGGAAGAGGGGTGGGCCCAGAAAAAGGGGTGCACCCCAGGGATGACGCTGCTGTCGCCCCGTGACTGGGCTCACCCCGCTCCCGGCTGCAGCGCCCAAGCGGAGCCGTGCCCGGCGTCCCGTACAAAGAGCAAAAAATAAGAAATGTAACACAAAAATCCCTATTGGCACAAGTGTCTGTGAGCTCTACGTACCTCTAGCTGTGGGTGGGGCAGAGCTGTGGGACAAAGCACCCCAAAATCTACCCTGATCTACGCTCGCCCGCCGCTGGTCCCGCTGGTCCCCTGCAAAGGGAGTGTCCCCGTTGTCCTTAAATCCCTGCAGGACCTGGGGGGGGTTGTTCCACTGACAGCCCGTTTCTCTTCTTGCAGTGATGCCGGAGGGAACCCCAAAACCTTTCTTGCTGGGCTGGGGTGTGCATCAAGTCTGGCTGGTGGAGGGAGAAATGCCTGCTCTGATGGGACAATTTGGCCGTGCCGGGCTGTCGGGATGGATCCTGGTGGGATGAGGTGTGTTCTGGTGTCCCCTCACAGGCTGCCAGTGCTGGCCGAGCCTTGGGGTCTCACCCCAGGCGTCCCCATCCCCTCACAACACCCCGGTGGGTTCAGAAGTCCGAGTCGGGGTCCAGCAGCTCCGCGTCCACCAGGTTGGTCCGGGAGTGGATGGGGGCCAGCCCGGCCCGGCGGCCCTGAGTCCTCGGCCCCCCGGGGTTGGGGGCCCAGAGGGGACCCCCGTTGTGCTGCCAGTGCCCGGGGCTGGGCCCGGGGCTCTCCTCCTCCAGGGACCCGCTCTCGGGGCAGAAGGGGTTGCTGACGAGGTGGAAGACGTTGGCTCTGCGGTGCCCACCCCACGGCACCCCGGAGAAGGCGGCGTCGGGCCGGCCGGCCGGGAGCCCCGGGAGGACATCGGGGGCAAAGGCCACCAGGCAGGGCTGGGGGGGCAGGCGGGGCAGGCGAGGGACGGTGCTGGGGGCCAGGGGGGCCGTGGAGCCCCCCAGGCAGCGCTCGGGGCCTGGGTCCACCTCCTTCTTCTTCTTCCTCCGCTTCTTCTTTCGGCCGCTGCGCTTCTGCAGCTCGGGGGAGACGTCGGCTTCCACGATCCAGAGGTTGGCCCTCTCCTCCGGTGGCACTGCGGGACGTGGGATTGGGCAGGTGAGAGCGGCCACGTCCTGCCCCGTGCCCCCCACCAGCCCCAGCCCCCCGCTCTGCCTCCCTGCACATCCCCAACACCCCTCAGCCCAGCTCGTTCCCCCTGAAATTCCCCACATGGAACTTGCCAGGCGTTGCCACGGGCGTCACGGAGACGTCCTGGGGCAGGATGGCCCCTCTCCTGGCCACCATCTTGGTGACGTGCTGGGCCCAGGCTGAGGACACATCAGCCGACGGCTCGTTGATGTCGAAGGCTAAACCGGCTGCAATGACAGGGGGGTCTGGTCAAAGGGGGGCACCGGGGACCCCGGGGTGCTGCTGGGACAGTCCCCTCCCACAGGCACGTACCCACAGGACCGTCGTGTGACACGGTGTGCATGCTGAAGGACAGCTCCCGGCCCGGGTCGCGCAGCAGCTCCTTGCGCTTGGAGAAGGCCTTGGCGATCATCTTGCTCTTCTTGATCCTCTTGGGCTGGTCGTCGCTCTGCCCCGTCAGCCTGGGGACATGGAGGCTCAGAGCAGGGATGTGGTGGGGCTCAGGTGTCACAGCCAGGGGCACAGGGACCCTCCCCATCTCCCTCTCCCATTCTGGACGGGGATACCGGTCTGGGGGATGCACTGGATGGGTCCCCTGGGGGTGGAGGTGTCCCACGAACAGGGTGTGAGACACCTGCCAAGGGGGAGAGGCCACCCCATTCCTACACCGCTGAGCCCACAACTCACTGAGCTGAGGGACAAATATCTGGGGACATCTTCCAACATCTCAGGACGTTGGATGGGGCGGGAAGGGCCCCACGAAGCTGGGGTGACACCCTCAGGGTGTCCCACCTGCACCAGGTGCGCTTCCAGATGAGCAGGGTGGCCTTGGTCCAGACCCAGGTGCTCATGGAGACACCGGTGCCGAACATGGCGAAGAGGTTGATCTTCTCCACCAGCAGGCTCGGCCGGTTCTTGATCTCACAATCTGGGATGGGCTTGTTGGTCTGCGTGGCGATGGTCACGTTGGCCTCGCACCTGAGGGACAGACACGGGACACCGGCTGTGAGGAGGGGGGACACCAGCGACCCCCCACAGCTCTGCAGGGTGGAGATGTGGTGGCAGCACCGGTGGGGGACACGGGGACCTCCACTCAGCAGTGTGAGGTGCTGGGATGCCACCGGTGTCCCCCTCGCCCTCCCTCCCCGTCCCACTCACAGGACGTATTCCCGAAAGCTGCGCTCCCACTCCGCCTGGTTGAAGAAGTCATAGAAGTGGCAGCCAAAGGTGATGAAGACGAAGCCAAAGGCCAAGAAGCCAAAGATGCCTGGAAGAGAAGTGGGACATTCCATTGTCGCCAAACCCCAGCGACACCAGGGCACAGACGCTGCACTGGGGCTGTGTCACATCACTGCATCTTTGTCTCCATTGCCACTACCCCTTGGAAAGGGCTGTCTGACTTCAGGGGACAAAATGTCCCCACTCCCACCCCAGTTCCCATGGGAACGGTGCCAATGGACCCCCTTACCCAGGCGCAGCATGGTCTCGTTGATCTTGCTGGCCGCCTTCTCGCTCAGCAGCCCGGGGTGGTTGCTCTTGATGGAGAAGAGCGTCATGACCCCTGCGGTGGAGGGATGAGGGGATGAGGGTGGGGGGACACCCACAGTGCCCCCACCCCCTCAGGGAGCTGGGCCCACACCTACCCCGGATGAGGAAATAGCCCCCCACAATGAGGACGAGCCCGATGGGCGCCAGGACGAAGCCGGCTCGGTAGCGGTAGTTCTTGTAGCCCACGAAGCAGATGCCACTGACAGAGTCACCATCCACCTGGCAGAGACGGGCACAGGGACAGGGGGGTCAGCTGGCCCTGTGGGCGTCACCCTGGGAGGGAACTGTCGCGGGATGGTGACCCCGTTACCTGCGCCACTGCCAGGATGGCCACGGTGAGGACAAAGGGGATGGACCAGGTGATGAGGTGGAAGTAGGAGGTCTTGCCCAGCAGCGGCTGGTAGGTGGTGCCCAGGGCCTTGAAGGAGGTGTGCCAGGCGTAGGTCAGCATGACGAACCAGATGACTCCCGACATCAGCGAGTAGTAAACGATGACGAAGATGATGACGCAGGAAAGCGTCTCGTTGGACCTACGGGGGGCAGGCGAGACAGAAACGTCACCCACCTCCACGAGGGGACAGCGAGGAGGAAGGGGGTCTCATCCCCCCGGCTCCCAAGAGGCCAGCAAACCCCAAGAAGCCCTCCTTGGTGTCAGGGACACCTCTCAGGACGTGGGGATGGAGGCGGCACGTACGTGGGCTCCCCTAGCCGCATGGTGCCGTCGGCCCGGCACACGATCTCGTTGCGGGCGCCGTCCATGAACTGTGCCAGCCAGCCGATGCTGCCCACGAAGAAGCAGGCGTTGACGTAGAACAGGATGACGGCGGGGTAGCGGTTGGAGTTCCTCCAGTCGGCGACAAACGTGGCCTGGCGGGGCGGAGAGAGCGACAGCTTGGTGCCCCGCGCCCTTCCGGGGGCACCTCCCCGCGCTCCCCCCGCGTCTCACCAGGGTGAAGAAGGTGCAGAAGATGGTGACGGAGCTGAAGGCGGCGATGTAGGTGTGCATCTCGCGGTGCTCCTTCTCGGTGAACAGCGGGTTCTGGCACTGGATGCCACAGCCCTCCACGTCCTCGTACCAGCTCTTGGGGTTGTCCGTGCGCACCAGCGGCGCCTCGCACTGTCCCGAGCTGTTGAACTTGATGTTCTGCACCTCGTTCTGCCGGACGAGAAACGGGGCCGTGAGGAGGAGGAAACACCCCCATGGCGAAGGGGGACGTCAGTCCTCAGCAGAGGGCAGGGGATAGCCGGGTTTCATTGGATCATCATGGAATGGTTTGGGTTGGAAGGGACCTTAAAGCTCATCCGGTCCCAACTCCCCTGCCATGGGCAGGGACACCTTTAACTATCACAGCTTGCTCCAAGCCCTGTCCAACGTGGTCTTGGACACTTCCAGGGATCCAAGGGCAGCCACACATGCTCTGGGCAACTTATGCCAGGGCCTCCCCACCCTCCCAGCCAGGAATTCCTTCCCAATATCCCATCTCACCCAGCCCTCTGGCAGTGGGAAGCCATTCCCTGTGTCCTATCCCTCCATCCCTTGTCCCAAGTCCTTCTCCAGCTCTCTTGGAGCCCCTTTAAGCACTGTAAGGGGCTCAAGATCTTCTTTGAGCCTTCTCTTCTCCAGGCTGAACAACCCTGACCCTTTTCTCCTCCCAAAAGCCACTTTCCCTTCCTGAGAAGTGACGTTTTTTTTCCCCGCTGCCCCGTGAGGAGGCAGCCTGGCAGGGCCCCCCCGTGTCGTACCGGGCAGCCCTCGGGGAAGCGGTCGGTCGTGCACTTGAGGAAGTCGGGCCAGCCCCGCTCGCGCTCCACGATGGTGCAGGGCGCCCGGGTGGCCTGGCACAGGGTCTGGCTGGGCAGCTCCACCTGCCCATCCTCGCACTTGGGCATGTAGACGGCGCAGAGCAGGGGCTGGATGACGTCCCAGCAGCGCGGGGCGTTGCGCAGGCCTGCGGGGAGACCGCTGTCACCCCCCCTGGGCACACCCACCTCCTGCCATCCCCCCACCCACAGGGAAGGGGCAGAGCCCAGGGGGGGTGGTGGGGAGCACCAGCACCCACACGCTGCACTGGGACAGTCTGTAACACCTCTGGGGTGCCACATGCGCCACCAGGGGCTCAGCCCTGGTCCCCTGCTATACTGTTCCCCTCTGTACTGCACCTATCCATGGTCCCCTGCTACACTGCTCCCTCTGTACTGCACCTATCCATGGTCCCC